GTCGATCTTGTGAAGTGCTCACACTTACATAAATATGTTTGATTGTGTGTACGCAGGGGCCGCGATGCTCACAAATGATGGGGTTATCATTGTAGAAGCAGTTCAGTGCCTTTATATGTATGTGCGTGTGTGTATGTTTATAAGTATATGCATGCGACATGAGCATTGACGTGTGCCTACGACAACTTAGAATTGTGTGAACGATTTTGGGTTTGACCGGAAGAGGCGCGCTTATATTTAAGTAGATGATTAACTAAAGTAACAAGTGCACTTCCTATAACTTTTATAGGTATTTTTTAATTGCATGATTTTTATGACATCTAACGGATGCACTCTTTAAAATGGGTCCATTTAGCCAGTATATGTATGTATGTACATACATATGCTTCTTATTAAAAAGGTAAATTTCACCTGTATATGTGCAGGTACAAGGGATCGAAAATCGTATTCCAATTTGGCCACTGGGATTGATCAGGTACTACATTTCTAGCAAAATTCATTCTGATAGGCAAACCCACGATCATTGAAATAAAATCATCTACTTAAATATAAGCGCGCCTCTTCTGGTCAAACCCAAAATCGTTCACACAATTCTAAGTTGTCGTAGGCACACGTCAATGCTCATGTCGCATGCATATACTTATAAACATACACACACGCACATACATATAAAGGCACTGAACTGCTTCTACAATGATAACCCCATCATTTGTGAGCATCGCGGCCCCTGCGTACACACAATCAAACATATTTATGTAAGTGTGAGCACTTCACAAGATCGACCAAATGCAAATGCTAGGATTTCAAATTGCTATAGCCAGCAAGGGCTTTGCACACAGGCATACAAATGCTCATAGTACATGTAGCATACTGTAAGTGTGTGTGTGCATGCTCGTCGCGAAAACATTTTCATTATGCGCACCAACGCTTTCATACTCTTCCCACAAATAATAACGCAAACGCATGGCAAACGGCTTGAAGAGTTCGGAATACACTTCACTCAGAAGGGAAGGCATGGGTTCTTGCTGCGAAGAAATTTCAATTCTTGTGAGCGCTACTTGTGCTCACATGCAGTACATACAGAGTACATGTAGCAAGGGACAGTGTGTGTGTGCATGCTCGTCGCGAAAAATTTAATTATGCGCACCAACGCTTTCATACCCTTCCCACAAATAATACCGAAAACGCATGGCAAACGCTTTGAAAAGCTCGGTATACTCTTCACACAGAAGGGAAGGCATGGGTTCTTGCTGCGAAGAAATTTCAATTTTCGTGAGCTGCTGCTTGTGCTCACATGCATACATACATATACACATTCGAGAGAGCAGAGAGCATCGAGAGAGAGAGAGAGCAAGGGAACATTGAGCATAGAGGGATCTTTTGTTCAAAAGTTGACCATCTCGGTCGAGCGCATGAAGCGAAATGATTGTGCGTTCGTATTTTTTCGTAGCTCGAGCCTAAAAGTAAGGAGCCGAGCGAGTCCAAAGCTGTCAGGGGTTCTAAAGCCTCAAAAAAAGCGTGCAAAAAGCTTTCCACTAGTTGTCTAGTCTATGTGTTCTCTGGTTAGTGATTTAAGTTAACAGCATTATGGTTAACCATCGATAGATACACATCTATCGATAGTTAACCATATCGGTGGCTGAGGAGGCTGTCGATATGCAACATGCCATTTTGAGTAATAGAAAGAGGAGGATCGATACATTTTAAGCTTGAATGTGAACAACAGCAGACGTGTGTATATCAAGAAATTACTAAATAAAGAAATTAAATAAAAGGCCTACTACACAAGTAAGAAGACTCTAGTCGAGACTGCTCGACTAGGAGATACCCTGAACCCTCTAATCACTCTGCACTTCTTTTCGGCACACATGCATACACACGCACGTATTAGAACGCGCTCTGCTAGCTGCGCAGTAAGCAGCGACTGCGCTTGGGCGCAGTTGTGGGCAACATTATAAGAATTTTTTTGTTGAATAATTTAATTTCTAGACATACAATCTTAATGAAACTTTCAGAACATAATTATAATATTAAAATGTGTGTCCAAAGCACAAGTCTCTAGTACTTGAAATACGCCTTTTACAAAGGTGAAAGTGAGGGGGTGGATATAAATGTTGGGGGTAAATTACAACAAAAATCGAAATTATATAAAATACATTTAAGTCTACATTTAAAATTTGGAAGCTCTAGCTTTAAAGGTGTAGGAGATATAATTAAATAACTAGCTTTCGATAAGGTTTTTAATCGATAATAAAATATCGGAAGTAGTTATCGATATATAGAGAAAAACTTGATATGCGCGTGATATACACGGACCTAGGAAAAAAAATTTCAAATTTCTCTTGCTCTTATATCTTCTGAGATCGACGCGTTCATACATACGGACGGACGGACGGACGGACGGACAGACAGACGGACAAGGCCAAATCGACTCAGCTCGTCGCCCTGATCAAGAATATATATACTTTGTGGGGTCTGCCACGCTTCCTTCTGCCTGTTACATACTTTTAACAAAACCATTATACCCTGATTTCCCATTATCAATGGGTTCAGGGTATAACAAGTAAGAAAGCTATAGTCGAGACTGCTCGACTACGAGATCCCCTGAACCCTTAGAGCAATAGCTATTTCAATAATTTTTCGCGACTTTCAGCTTACACAAGAAATACGCACGCACGCACACGCAGGCATACATACACACACACACGCATACACACACGCAGGGCACAGGTATCAAGATTGTACAGCAGAGCGACGTATATTTTGTAATAGTTCGTTCATGAAATGCAACAACCATTCAGCCTGTGCACCGTCGATCAAACGACGCAAACAAATGAAGTCGACATCAACCAACACATAGTAGGTTTTCAATCCGCCAACTATACAAACGATCCAATTACGACCTCACCACTTTATAATTTTCATTTCGAAACAACGCACACACAAATAAGCTCAACATCTCGCTCTCAGCTACGGTGCCTTTCAGTAAAAAAACATCGTAAGATAGAGCAGAAGCAACTAATGTCAGCCGTCAATGCAAATGCACAAGATATTAGGCCATATACAGATGTTTCTTAGGAAATAGTATTAATGCCTTGGTGGTGAATTTTCTAATTACGTTCTTAATTATAACATTGTATTTAAGCCTCTGAATTCAGATGTACGTACTGCAGATAGGAACGCGCATAATATTATTGGCAAAATTACTACAGAAATCAATTTAAACAAGTAAGAACGTGTAAGGTGGCTCTCCTGCGACCCACCTTACATTGCACTCGCGACGTTAGTAGGAGTTTGTAGGTAGTAAGATTTGTAGTTAGTAGGAGTTCGTAGGTAATAAGATTTGTAGTAGAGTAAGTTGAAGTCGTTGGATTATATTTTTGTAGTGAGTACGTTAAGAAATAAGTAAGATAAGTATGTAGTCTGTTAATTAGTTAATAAGTAACCGTAGGTGCCATAGCAATTAGTTTCGTAGGGTAAGCTAAATTCAAATTGGTGGGCGGGCGCGTGATCAGCAATGCAACCATGCAACTCAAAAGCTCGCGTTAGTGAAGTTGCACTGCTGACGCTGCGGGGAAATCTGCGCAGAAGGCAGAATAGAAGCGAAAGCTGCGAGCGCAGATTAATTAGTTTTGAGTCTTCGAAGCGAGCAGACGCGTTTTGGCAATTATGCATTTTAACACGCGGCGCGAGCATCTGAGAGGAGTTAAGCTAAGAGATTTTGGAGTGGATTTCTATTAAAATAAAGTAAGCATATGTGGACATGATGGTGTATTCATTTGTAGTCAATTTGCGCGTTTCATTAACCTTTAACACTAACAGTAGTCAACTACAGTAATACTAACTGGTAGTTTGAACGTGGCTTCGGCCCCTTCGCCGGATGAGCAAATCTCCGGCAGTAAAACTGTGCGGTCTCGGAGCGAACGCCGGCGGCAACGCTGGGCGTCCCTCGACCCGCGGTCTACCACCCGTAGTGGCCCCACTAACGTCATACAGCGCGCCCGCGCAACCCCGACCCCAGTAATCTCGAGAGCGCTTGGCCTTGCCCCGCGTGGTCGTGGTAGGTGAGTTTACACCGCGTGGCTGCCTAACCTCAAATGGTACCCTTCCCCTCTCCCATTTCTCTAACACTGCATGTCCCGTAGAAACTTACAAATTTCTTGTATGCTCTGGCCCTGGTGAGGTCCTGGTGGTCTTACCCCGGCCTAAGAAGAGTAAGCTTACAAGTGGTGCCCGAGCAGGGACTGCGGGGCTGGAGAGAGTGTGGTATACGGGCGGCGTAAAAACCGGCCGGCGTACCCAAATAGAGGTGCTAGGTAATAGAGGTGATCGTAGAATTGTTAGTGGCGGTTATTTTGAAAAATGTGCGTGTACAAGCATCGAAAATCGAGAAAAATCCATAGCAAAGTGTAAAAATTGAAAACGGATATACCCGACGGCGGCCAGAAATTTCGGGTTAGAAATTTCGGGAAACGGCAAGCGAAAAATGGAAAAACAGTTACCGCGCCGAGAAGTACAGTGCGCGCGAAAAATGTTGCGCAGAAGCGCAAGTCGAAGACGCACATGCACAAGCATGGGCACGCACGGGGGCAGCGTGGCACGCGATGCCGAGATCTAGAGTGAGAAAAAAGAGCAACGAGCAGTGACATATACAGAGCGAGTATATGCGCACACCCCGGGAGTGAAAAAAAGATAACTAATGTGATGATATATAATAGTGGCCGTCCTTCCAAAAGGAGTCTGGTCCGTCGATGGGCCAGTGTATAATATATTCTTTAAGATGCAGACGCAACTTGCGGTCTCTCTAAATAGGCACGAACGAAGTGCTGGCACCGGTGTTCAATTTTGTAGCGCAACTTGCACCGCAGAAAGCTCATCTAAGCGCGAGCAGCAGGAGAGCGATTCTTTGGCGAGCGACACTCGCGTGCTAGCGCGTACAACAACAACTACTTATAGTGGTTTCATTTCCATTCTTAACCTATACAATTTTAATAATTCAATTTCTTCATTTTTTTTTTTTAATTCTATATAATAAAGAGGGCATATATCCAAATGCCTCAACATCGGCCGCGTTGAAAGGCCGCAGGGCTTCAATAATATGGGGTATTAGTTGAGTGGCAGTGGGGCAACACGATGAATTGCCCTTTTGTATGTGCCATTTTTTGTCTTAACGACAATTACGCGCATTCTACCATCTCCTTCGGCTATGGCTTCCGTTACCACGCCTAGCATCCACTGTTGTGGAGGAGCGTTGTCGTCTCCCACGAGCACGACTGCTCCGACCTGTAGGTTCTGCCTCTCCTTCGTCCATTTTGACCGCTGCTGGAGGCTGAGCAGTCGATCCAAAACCGACGCTTGATGTTGGATATCAGCTGCCATCTTTTTAAGAGTGTCAGCTTGGCGTCGTCGACTGGTTCTGTGGACACGAGTTGCAGCGGCGCGAGCGTTCCCCCTATTAGGAAGTGCCCTGACGTGAGCACTTCGCCGTCGTTGGGGTTGCTGCTGGGAGCCATCATTGGCCGCGAGTTGAGTACGGCCTCGACCTCGACCAGCACGGTGGCCACCTCGTCTTGCCGTAATCGAGCGTTGCCCATCGCTTTCAGCAGCAAACCTTTCGCGGATTTCACCGTCGCTTCCCCAAAGGCGGCCAAAATGCGGCGCTCGAGGAGGGATGAAAACAAACTCCATGCCCCGCTCCGCAGCAAACGTTTCCATAGCCGCTGTGTTGCCATGAAAAGTTGCCTTGAGGTCCAGCGTGCGTGCAGCACCCACGAAATTGATGGCATTGTCGCAATACAGCTTCCGGACAAGCCCACGTCGACCAACGAACCTGGATAAACACATCAGAAATGAATTTGAGGTTAAATCGGTGACTAATTCAAGAAACTAGTATTGGACCACAAAAGTCCACTCGACTGATCTCAAATGGCCTATTACCATGTAAGCGGTCAGCGGGAAGATTGCACATTATTTGGGATAAGAGTTTCGGTTTGTAGCGAAAACAATGTACGCATTTTCTAACTACTGCACTGCAAGCCTCTCGAGCATTGACCAGCCACACCTGCTGACGAAGCAGGCCCATTAGTACCAGTGGATTGGCGTGGCAATGAGAGCGATGCAAATGCTCCAAATAAAATAGACGACCTCCGACTCGTAGCAACCACAACACACGCCTGCCATGCTGATGTGGGTGCAAAAAAGGCGTCAGTTTTTGCAATGACGGTTGCAACCCGATTGATTTCTTTACTTTCTTAATTTCTTCGCTGAATTCAATGTGTTGAATTACAGATATGACTGCAAGGAATGCGAAGCTTAACTCAGAAGCTGTAGGAACAAGTGAAGAATGACTCTCTTGTTTTCCATTGATAAAGCGGAACATATATGCAACGATGCGGAGTAGCTTAGAGAATGACGAAGTTGATTCAATAAGTTGTATGACTGGATTTGTTACCTCATGGACCGTGATCATAATAATTGCAGTTCTACGCTTCTCTAGCAGCTCTAACTCTTTTGATAAGGTAATTTGTGGGTTGGCTGGCTTTAAAAAAAGCTTTAAAAATCCTGGTCCGCAAAACCACAATGATGTCTTAAGCTCCTCAACTGAACATCCCCGAGATACAATATCTGCTGGGTTATCTTTCATTGGTACATGACATGACATGACAACATTAGTTGTCAACTCTTGCAACGCGATTGGCAACGAATGTATTCAAGCTAGATGAATGCATTCGCAGCCAATGAAGCACCACCTCAGAGTCTGACCAAAATGTGACTTGATTAATAGGACAATCAAGTATTTTCTTTACCGCATCCCACAAGGTAGCTCACAATTCTGCAGCACACAACTCCAGCCGCGTAACAGATTTTGTTTTCAAGGGCACTACCTTAGATTTGGCGACTAACAGCCTGGTAGTGATACCCTTATCTGTTTGCATTCTTACGTATAAACAACAACCGTAAGCTCTCGTTGAGGCGTCAGCAAATCCATGGATTTGACATCCCTTCGATTTAAGTGTGCCAACGAAACGAGGTATATGCAACGAGTTTAGATTTGAGAAACAGCTAGTTACAGCCTCAAATTCTTGCCTCATTTGAGCAGGCAATTGGTCATCCCACCCAAGTTTGTGCAACCACATTTCTTGTAAAAGGACCTTCGCACAAGTTACGATCGGACTTAACAAACCTGAGGGGTCGTATCACCTTGCTACAAATGACAAAACGGATCTTTTGGTCTGTTGAACTTCTACTGGACAGTTCATGGAATATCTAAAACTGTTATTCATCGGATTCCAAATTATTTCCAATGTTTTTGTGTCCTCTTGATGACCAATAACTATATCGCTTCTAGCTGGTTGTGCTGCAAGTTGTTTACAATTGGACGATCATTTTTTCAGAGAAAACCCAAACGTTTGAAGAATTCCCTCCACACAAAAAGTTGAAAGTTGCGGTGGGACTCATCAAGCTCAATTTGACGGTACATTTTAGCGATGTCTGCTGTAGCAGCCCAAGGACGAAGTCTAAATCTTAGCAAAGTCTCCCATAACTGCGGCTGGATGGTCGGACCCACCATGAGTAGATCAGATTCAGCGACAATTGAGAGGAGGACTTGCTAGATGCATCAAACACTACTCGAAGTTTAGGGGATACGCTGTGCGGTCTTAGCACGCATTGATATGGGATGAAATAATGTGGCTCTCTCGGAATTTGATTGTCAGTTGGGCTCATGTGACCCAAGGCCATGTACTCTTTCATAAAGTCAATGTACATTGGCCGAATGTCTTCTTGCTTGCTCATTCTTCTTTCCAAGGCCAGAAATCGTCGCTTGGCTATCTTATAAGACGTACCAAGACAATGTGGGCTTGATTTGAATGGCAGCGACACTCTGAAACGACCCGAGGTAGTTTGGCAAATAGTCTCTACAAATGACTTCTCGCACAGTTGTTGCTCTGGGGTATACAAATTCGAATCAATTCGAATTAATTGTATTTGGCTTTTCTTCCAACTCCCAGAATTTGCGAACTATTGAATCTATAGCTATGTCGTCGTTTACGTTAACTAGTAGCTGCATTCAATGTTCGGCAGCGACCAGATACAATCCAACCAAAGGCAGTCAATTGCAATGTTGGGCTGTTATCAGGTCTCTTTATTTTGCCTTCTCTTAATATATCAAAAAAGATATCAGCACCGAGCAACAAATCAATACGTTGTGGCTTGTGGAACTGAGGATCAGCTAATTGTACGTTCTCAGGTACCTTGATCTCTTCAGTGTGCTTCTCTGGTTGATACGACGAAATGGAACGTAACACACAAAAGTCTGTTCGGATTTCTAAGTCGTCCGTTCGCGACGCTATCGAAGTTTGAACGCTGTGACGAACAGATGACTGACAATTGGCAATGCCCAACAATTGAATCCCAGATCTTTGCCTTTCTAATTTCAACTGTTTTGCAAGTTCTTCAGTTATAAAATTAACTTGCGAGCCCGAATCTAATAAGGCTCTAGCTAAGTGATAAGATCCAGATTGATCTTTTATCTTCACAATTGCAGTTGCCAAAAGAACTTGATCAGAGGCTATCCGTGCGTGATTTAAGACTCTGTGACTGACTTGGCAGAGCGACAGCAAGTGAAGTTTTTCCAATTCTTTTCTTACTATCCTGAGCTACCTTACGACTTGGACCAGATGATTCTTCAGCACTTAAATGCTGATACCGTCGGTTTAAGGCAGCTTCTTAATCTTGCCACAATGGATGTTTATTGTAGTCAAGATTCTCTTCCCACCTAGAGCGCGTGCCAGTGTCCGCTTTCATCATTACTAAATGGATGAGCATGGCATTCGAAATCTGCTTATCAGATCCTAGCGATAATAGAGACTCGTAAATGGCACGTACTGAGTCAATCAGCATGCGCAAAGATGACGCTGATGGTTTAGACATGTGTGGGAGGTCAAATAATTTCGAAATACTGTTAAAAAATATGAGACACTGATTGCGGTACACATTTTTTAAAGCAGCTAACGCTTTTGGGTAATTAGCATCTGTCACCTGATATGCCTTGACAGTACCTAATGCTTCCTTGTCCAAGCATGACAACATGTGATTGAACTTCTCTATATTTGATAGCCCTAGCTCGTTGTCAACTAAACTCTCAAAAAGTCCGATGAAATTCTTATATTCCGAATATTCTCCGCTAAATCTTGGCAACTTTAGATTCGGTAGATTCCTAGAGATTCATCGTAGAGTTAGCGGGACTCTCACTTTTAGGTTGGCCATCACTACCTCGCTTCATTAGAAGAGCCTTTGTTGACACACACAAATCCTCTAATGTTGACCGAGGCACTAAATCTGCGTTAATGTCGTCCAACTCTACTTGTGTTTTAAAGGCCTTTTCTATGTAGCGGTTCAATATCTCAAGTCGACATTCAATTTCAAATGGCTCTACTGGTTTAGTGTAATCCTTTAATGATTTGTTTATGCGAGTTATATCGTTTGTAACATTTTTGTATACGGCCAACAGAGCTTCGACACGCTCCGTTGATGACTCGTCCATAGACCGATTCTTTCCTCGCTTATTAGTCATGATGCTCAGTCGAAACCAATTTCAATCGAAACAAATAAAAATTCACTTAATGTATGTCAACAAGCGAAGAGCAACTCAAGAATATAAACAAATGCGCGAGATCGTAATAATTCTCAATATATTACGCTGGCAGTGTTAAACTATACTTGAGTGACTGTTACAGACAGCTGCTAACGATATAGCGAAGACAACAACCAGAATGTTGAGTGACTATTAGTATGGGTATATTGAGTTATTTGTATATTTGACTGTAGAGCGATTGAGTGCAATGCATTCACACATACACATGTACAAGCGAGAGCGCGCCGATATGTGCAAGTGAGAACGCAACGATATTGCAGGCTTGAAATAAAAATGTAGGTCGAGCTCATACGTTGAGCGCAAAGCGAGAGTGTAAGTTTTGAGCGGCAATAAATCCAAGTGACAAGCGCAAGTTTTGAGCGCAATGCGAGAGCGCTACTGTGTGTAAGCGCGAGTGCAAACGATATTGCCAGCGAGCATGCAAATGATGAGCGTAAATTAAAGCGAAATTTACTGTGTAAGCGCGAGTGCAAACGATATTGCAAGCGCGCATGCAAATGAAGAGAGTAAATTAAGAGCGCAATTATTTGTGCAAGCGAGAACGAACTTTAACGTGCGAGCGATAGCGAGCTGTGAGCGCAAGCGCAAAACGAAAGTGCGAGACGAAAATGAGCAAAAAACTGTAACACACAAAAATATCCTTCCAAAAGGAGTCTGGTCCGTCGATGGGCCAGTGTATAATATATTCTTTAAGATGTAGACTGCAATTTGCGGTCTCTCTAAATAGGCACGAACGGAATACTGGCACCGGTGTTCAATTTTGTACTACTTTTATTGAATTTTAACAGCAACGCAAGCGCAGCTTGCACAGCAGAAAGCTCATCTAAGCGCGAGCAGCGGGAGAGCGATTGTTTGGCGAGCGAAACTCCCGTGCTAGCGCGTACAACAACAACTACTTTACAGTGGTTTCATTTCCATTCCTAACCTATAAAATTTTAATAATTCAATTTCTTCATTTTTTTTTTTAATTCTATATATTAAAGAGGGCATATATCCAAATGCGTCAACAGTGGCCATAGAGCGAAATTATAATGACAGTGGAAAAAACTAATAATAAATAAGTAAGAACGTAGCAGTCGGGCGTTACCGACTGCGGAATACTCATTCACATCCCATCAACAATTTAGTAGTTACGTTCCGCTCTAATACTGTAGAAAATACAAACTGTATTGTATGTTTCGAATTGCCACGCCCCTACTGGGCGTAGATAGCTCATTTTTGGTCAGTTCTTAGAACGTGATAACGGTACTCTAACTGCAAAGTTTGAATGCTTACCTTCAAAAAATGTGAAAATTACAGGATATTTTTCGATATGCCACGCCCCTAAAGAGGCGTAAAAATTATTTTTGGTCGATATCGATAGATGATGTTACTGGTATCTGAACTATCTAAATTTGAAGCTTCTAGCTAATATACTTTAGGAGATATCAACTTTTGCTGTTTGCCACGCCCCCTGTGGGCGGACTTATATCCGACAAAGCTTTTTGGTCTTGGGTGATCAGCCCGAGTACATATACAAGTTTTTAGGTCTCTGGCATCAATAGTGTCCAAAATATCGCAGAATTCGAAAAATCATTATATCTTCAGGTCCGATTTGCCACGCCCCTTGTAGGCGTAGATATATAATCTTTCCACCCATCTTTATAGAATTAAAACATCAGCTTACGTGCAAAATTTCATTCTAGGTTTATAACTTTAGTAGATATAGTTTTATCCGATTTGCCACGCCCCTAATGGGCGTAGACTTATAAAGTCTTAAGACTTTATAGAATCATAAAATTAGCTGACGTCCAAAATTTCAGCGCTCTAGCTGTAAAACTCTTAAAGATACAGTTTTATCCGATTTGCCACGCCCCCAATGGGCAGAGATATATCCGCCATAGCTCGTGATCTAGGGTGGTCGACGCGGACGTACCAAATTTCAGCTTTCTAGCTCTTCATCTAAGATGATTTCTGGCATATCGGAAAATGCATTTTCCGATCTTTCACGCCCCTAGTGGGCGGATCGGGAAAATTTTAACACTTTATAAATCGGAGATATACACGAGTATGTGTTCCAAATTTCAAGTCTCTAGCTTCAATAGTGCCGAAAAAATTGCGTTCATACGGACAGACGGACGGACAGCAAGACGGACATTGCACAAAATCAATATACTAATTCACTTTTGTGAATGAGTATAAATACAATAGTGAACATAGTAGTAATCGTGAAAGAAATTATATTAAGAGCGGAAAAAATATATATATGAATTGTAACGAGCCTTCGGTTTATCTCGAGTCTAAGCTGGGCTAGTTTCAGCTGACTGTGGATTCGTGCCAACAAATTTATTTCTTGAATATATGTTGTTAAATTTACACGTCTCTTATTTTATGATCTTATGCTGGTTTGCTTTAGCAAGGCACAACGGCTGGGTGCTGGTTCAACGCACTTTGGCTGGGAGAGTGTTGTGCTAAAACACGCTAGTTTCAGTGGAACGATTCGGAAAACGCCAGGATTTGTGTCTGTGAGCTTCGGCGGTTCGGTCGGCTATACAGATCTCTCTTACTATTCCACTCGCTCCAGCTTCGTTTCACTCACAAAACTTCTCTCTTTTTACGCACGGTTACGTGAACTTACTCAGATATGCAGGCCTTGCTTAAGCTGATGGGCTGCACCAATGTCTTGTTGGTGCCGCTGACGATCCTGCTTGCCTCTTTACTCGTCGCAAGGATTCCCACTGAATGTCCTTGCTGTCCCACGATGTCCTTGCTGTTCCCACGTTGTCCTGGGAGTCCTGATCTACCACTCGCGTTGACTCTCACTTTACTGTTTCACTTCGGCACTTTTGTTACTCTGACTTTCACTCTTAATGATCACTATTTTACTTTCTTCGACTGACCCCGTATGGAGCTGCCGGTGTCCTTTTATAGCCCAGCCACAGGCCCTGCTTCGTGTGGTAACGGGGCCTGTTCGGCTCTGGAGCGGGGCCTTTCTGCTGTTCGTGCCCATAAAAACGGTAAAGTAGCGTGATCTGGGTGACGCCAAATCAAATTGCGTGGCAGCCTCCCGTTGGCCGAAGTACGGTTGGTTCCCTGCAAGTGAAAGTGCCCACTAATCTCACCCGGCCCTAACGGCACCTCTGCTAACGGTCCTCGATGATCGACGTGTGTGCGACGCGAGCCAATTGCTGAATCTGTAGGAGCAAAAGAGGCCAACTATAGTTGGACCTTGACCCCTTTCCAGTCGCGAGGGTCGCTCCTACAGTACTCGCGTCGCTGTGTGGAGCAACATGTATATGCACGTATATGCATATAAACGCACAGCAACTACATACATTCACATACATTAATACGTGCATACCAACATTGCTCCTCACACTCCCCTCTTTCTTCGGGAAAACACGAGACCATCGTGTTTGAACTTTGGCGCCCGCCTCAGCTCGCCGCTCCCTCGATGCTCCATTTTGCGCTGATCGCTGCTGTTAACTCGCTGTCAACAACATCAGCTGCTCTTTTATTTACCGCTGGCAATGCTGTATATTGCCGGTAAGTAAATGGAGTTAATATTTTTTTAAATTTCAATAAAATTTAAAAAAATATTATTTTTCAGGCTGGGCATCTTTTCTCCATGCCCCTTGGCCTGATGGCCTGCCGCTGCCAATGCCCACGCCGGGTGCTGCTGCAAAGCTCGCCTTTCGGTTTTGCAACCCTCGGTGGCATTGGCGCATGCGCGCACGGCAATTGCCATTTCGGCCATTTCACGCCTGCTGTCCCTCGCCGCTGGAGACGTCTCTCTGCTGGTTTCTGCTGCTCTTTGGACCCTTGGGGATACTCCGGTGGGGCTCTGCAGTCATTTCATGTACTGCTGCTAGGAGATCGGGCCACAGACGTCGTTCGCAAATGGACAAAAATTTATTTGTCGTTAACTTGCACAAGTGAAAGGGTTAAAAAATCGCATCCCATTTTGCCCACTGGGATTAATTAGGTACTACATTAAAAAAGAAATTTATTCTGATAGGCAAACCCACGATCATTGAAATAAAATCAGGTACTTAACAAGTAAGAAAGCTCTAGTCGAGACTGCTCGACTACGAGATCCCCTGAACCCTTGGAGCAATAGCTATTTCAATAATTTTTCGCGTCTCTCAGCTTACACAAGAAACACGCACACACACACACACACACACACAGGCACGCGCGCACACACACACACACACGCACGCGCGCATACACACACACATACATATAAACATTTACAATCACATACACACACAAGCATAGACACGCATGGGCGGCAGTGTGCCCTTACTATGAGAACTCAATTGTTTAATAACTTTTTTTGTGGACATACGATCTTCATGAAACTCAGATTATGATTATAACATGGATATGCATGTATTTGCCAAAGCACAAGTCTCTAGTATTTGAAATACGCATTTTACAAAAGTGAGGGTGAGAGGGTGAATATAGGGGTGGAGGGTAAATTTTAACAAAAACCGAAATTGTATAAATTGCATATAAGCATACATTAAAAATTTTGAGACTCTAGCAATAAAGGTGTAGGAGATATAATTTTATAACTGGTTTTCGATAAGGTTTTTATCGATAAAAAAAAGATCGGGATGAGTTATCGATTTTTAATGATAAACTTGATATGCGCGCTGTAATTACGGACATTAAAAAAAATTGAAGTCTCTAGCTCTTATATCTTCTGAAATCGACGAGTTCATACATACGGACAGACAGACGGACAGGGCCAAATCAACTCAGCTCGTCGCCCTGATCAAGAATGTATATATTTTGTGCGGTCTGCCACGCCTCCTTCTGCCTGTTACATACATTTCAAGAAAACCATTATACCCTGATTTCCCATTGAAAATGGGTTCAGGGTATAAAAATAAACGCGAGTCTGCAATTTGAACCGAAAATCGTTCAGGCAGCAAGAGTTTCACACACAGGCATACAAATGTTTATACATGTAGCAAGGGACAGTAGTGTGTGTGACGCTTTGACGCATTGGCTGTAGTGTGTGCCTACAATTGGAACTTAATTGCTTAATAACTTTTCTTGTGGATGGAATTTATTTTTGCGGACATTAATATAAAAATCAAGTCTCTAGCTCTTATCTTTTTAGATCGACGCGTTCATACATACTGACAGACAGACGGACCGGGCTAATTCGACTCAGCTCGTCGTCCTGATCAAGAATATATATACTTTTATTCCCTGATTTCCCATTTTCAATGGCTTCAGGGTAATAAAACTGAAATGGCTATATTTCTGGCTATTCTTGAATTTTATCTAGCCGTTACTTGCAGGTTTCAAAGGTTAATGTAGCATTTTCTTGCCTGGAAAAGTTGGCAGCACTGGTGTTCTGGGGTTAGTGTCGTGCTAAAATTTTCCCGATCCGCCCACTAGGGGCGTGGCAAATCGGAAAATGCATTTTCCTATATACCAGAAATCATGTTTGTTGAAGAGCTAGAAAGCTGAAATTTGGTATGTAGGTCCGCGTCATCCACCCAAGATCGCGAGCTATGGCGGATATATCTCCGCCCATGGGGGGCGTGGCAAACCGCAAAAGTTTATATCTCCTACAGTTTAAGAGCTAGAAGCTTCAAATTTGAATAGTTTAGTTACTGGTAGCCTCCTCTATCGATTCCCCAAAAATAATTTTACGCCTCTTAAGGGGCGTGGCATATCGAAAACTACCCTGTAATTTTCACATTTTTTGAGCGTAAGAATTCAAATTTTGCATTTAGGTTACCGGTTGCTCGTTCAAAGAACTGGCCAAAAATGAGGAGTCTACGGCCACTAGGGGCGTGGCAATCGGCATTTATAGTGCCCATATTGCGGCATTTATGCGTCAGCCATCTATTCCCGTCAAATTGCGTGGCAGCCTCCCGTTGGCCGAAGTACGGTTGGTTCCCTGCAAGTGAAAGTGCCCACTAATCTCACCCGGCCCTAACGGCACCTCTGCTAACGGTCCTCGATGATCGACGTGTGTGCGACGCGAGCCAATTGCTGAATCTGTAGGAGCAAAAGAGGCCAACTATAGTCGGACCTTGACCCCTTTCCAGTCGCGAGGGTCGCTCCTACAGTACTCGCGTCGCTGTGTGGAGCAACATGTATATGCACGTATATGCATATAAACGCACAGCAACTACATACGTTCATATACATTAATACGTGCATACCAACATTGCTCCTCACACTCCCCTCTTTCTTCGGGAAAACACGAGACCATCGTGTTTGAACTTTGGCGCCCGCCTCAGCTCGCCGCTCCCTCGATGCTCCATTTTGCGCTGATCGCTGCTGTTAACTCGCTGTCAACAACATCAGCTGCTCTTTTATTTACCGCTGGCAATGCTGTATATTGCCGGTAAGTAAATGGAGTTAATATTTTTTTAAATTCCAATAAAATTTAAAAAAAAATATTATTTTTCAGGCTGGGCATCTTTTCTCCATGCCCCTTGGCCTGATGGCCTGCCGCTGCCAATGCCCACGCCGGGTGCTGCTGCAAAGCTCGCCTTTCGGTTTTGCAACCCTCGGTGGCATTGGCGCATGCGCGCACGGCAATTGCCATTTCGGCCATTTCACGCCTGCTGTCCCTCGCCGCTGGAGACGTCTCTCTGCTGGTTTCTGCTGCTCTTTGGACCCTTGGGGATACTCCGGTGGGGCTCTGCAGTCATTTCATGTACTGCTGCTAGGAGATCGGGCCACAGACGTCGTTCGCAAATGGACAAAAATTTATTTGTCGTTAACTTGCACAAGTGAAAGGGTTAAAAAATCGCATCCCATTTTGCCCACTGGGATTAATTAGGTACTACATTAAAAAAGAAATTTATTCTGATAGGCAAACCCACGATCATTGAAATAAAATCAGGTACTTAACAAGTAAGAAAGCTCTAGTCGAGACTGCTCGACTACGAGATCCCCTGAACCCTTGGAGCAATAGCTATTTCAATAATTTTTCGCGTCTCTCAGCTTACACAAGAAACACGCACACACACACACACACACACAAAGGCACGCGCGCACACACACACACACACGCACGCGCACACACACACACACACATACATATAAACATTTACAATCACATACACACACAAGCATAGACACGCATGGGCGGCAGTGTGCCCTTACTATGAGAACTCAATTGTTTAATAACTTTTTTTGTGGACATACGATCTTCATGAAACTCAGATTATGATTATAACATGGATATGCATGTATTTGCCAAAGCACAAGTCTCTAGTATTTGAAATACGCATTTTACAAAAGTGAGGGTGAGAGGGTGAATATAGGGGTGGAGGGTAAATTTTAACAAAAACCGAAATTGTATAAATTGCATATAAGCATACATTAAAAATTTTGAGACTCTAGCAATAAAGGTGTAGGAGATATAATTTTATAACTGGTTTTCGATAAGGTTTTTTATCGATAAAAAAAAGATCGGGATGAGTTATCGATTTTTAATGATAAACTTGATATGCGCGCTGTAATTACGGACATTAAAAAAAATTGAAGTCTCTAGCTCTTATATCTTCTGAAATCGACGAGTTCATACATACGGACAGACGGACGGACAGACAGACGGACAGGGCCAAATCAACTCAGCTCGTCGCCCTGATCAAGAATGTATATACTTTGTGCGGTCTGCCACGCCTCCTTCTGCCTGTTACATACATTTCAAGAAAACCATTATACCCTGATTTCCCATTGAAAATGGGTTCAGGGTATAAAAATAAACGCGAGTCTGCAATTTGAACCGAAAATCGTTCAGGCAGCAAGAGTTTCACACACAGGCATACAAATGTTTATACATGTAGCAAGGGACAGTAGTGTGTGTGACGCTTTGACGCATTGGCTGTAGTGTGTGCCTACAATTGGAACTTAATTGCTTAATAACTTTTCTTGTGGATGGAATTTATTTTTGCGGACATTAATATAAAAATCAAGTCTCTAGCTCTTATCTTTTTAGATCGACGCGTTCATACATACTGACAGACAGACGGACCGGGCTAATTCGACTCAGCTCGTCGCCCTGATCAAGAATATATATACTTTTATTCCCTGATTTCCCATTTTCAATGGCTTCAGGGTATAAAAACTGAAATGGCTATATTTCTGGCTATTCTTGAATTTTATCTAGCCGTTACTAGCAGGTTTCAAAGGTTAATGTAGCATTTTCTTGCCTGGAAAAGTTGGCAGCACTGGTGTTCTGGGGTTAGTGTCGTGCTAAAATTTTCCCGATCCGC